TATATATATATATATATATATATTTGTGTGTGTGTGTGTAAGTAGTGAGTTGAGAGTATTTGATGTGATATTTTAAAATTTTTTGTACTATTTTTCATCTAGTCAAATCAGATTTTAATGAAAGACATGTAGGGTATTTGATTTATCTAAAGAGGAAAAAATGATTAAAATTGACAATCTTGTAAAAAATTTTAAAAAGTGACATTTTTGTGAATAGAAAGCCAAAGATTGACTATTTTAGTAATTTTCACTATTTATTTTATTTGATTTCAAATATGCAAATATTGACTTTGGTCAAAATTTAAGTGTTGCTCAACCAATAGTCTTTAACAATTGCATTCGGTCCCGGCTTCTATTTTTATTTTTCTCTTTTTTTTTTCACTTTAAAATTAAGTATTAATAAGTTTTATTAGGTTGAATACACAAATGGTACATCGACTTTACCATTATTTAAAAGCATACATGAACTGAAGTTTATTTCAATATAATTGTCAAACTCACAACATCGCCTCCAATCTGTCCAAAATTTGACGTTCGTCTGTCAACATAGATGAGATGACTTTCGTATATAGGCCGAGGACTCGAGACATTTTCCAAACAAAAAATGAGCGAAGGGAGATTGATTAATCTTAGAGTGCCTTATGTAAATATAATTTGAAGCAAATTACTCCTTTCATATTCTCTATATACTTCAATATGTTTTAGAAAATTTCTTCTAATAAAAACGAGAAATGATATTTAGCACCATTGATATTGAACATCAACACATGTAACATTATATTGCAGGTTCAATTATATACAAAAATTTATGATGTATTCAATAAATCTATGATACTTGAACATCTTGACAGGTGTTCAACACCACTAGTGTTAAATTGAATTATTTGATAAAAATCAAGGAATTCAAAACGAAAGCACCATGTAGTGCAAAAGCAATAGACATTACTATGACTTGTTCACCACATTACGCCATATATAAACTAACTAAACCTAAATGTGTTACGAACCTTAACCCTCTCCTATGCACATGCGATTTCCACAAGTGAAAAAAAGGACAAACATCAAACAACCCGACCCCAACCTCGACCTTGACCTCAACCTGCTAGAGTGGGATGGTGGACCTCTCGCACTCTTTTTCTTCTAGTTGGTTAGTAAGTTATGACGGTTGATTCCGTGAAGACCTGAGTGAGTCCTTATCCATGGAAGTTCAGCAAAACCAATAAAATTCTATTGTATAAACTATAAATCACAAGCTCAGCTCTGCAGTCAGAAAAACACAAGACTTTGTTTTCAAAGTATCTGCACGTGAAATCTTAATAATTTCTCATGCAACTGTGGGTCCTTTAGCCAGCCCCTCCTTTTGTTTTCATGCCAAATTCCAATTCCTAAGAATCTCCTCCATTTCCTTCTCTTTTTCTCTGCAATTCATCTCTTATCTTTGAATTCATTACTATCTTCGAAAAACTCTGCGAAGAATGGTTCTTTGGGCATCACTGTTTTGTGTTCTTCTTCTGCTAATAAGTTCTGCACATGAAGTCTCCAGTTATGGAGATAAGGAACTTCTTCCTTTGGAAAGATTTCAGTGGGCACAGCCAGTGAAGAAAAGGGATTGTTTCTCTCGAAAATCAAGTAAAGTATAAGCAAGAAAAGATTTAAATTAAAATAATTTATTTGGGACATTATTAGCTTTTTCATAGATTTATAATAATCAGCTATTATTTGCTTTTAAGCTTTATTAAAGACACCATCAACTCTGTCCCCCATTTGTTATCCTTTAAGGTAGTTGGAGTTGAATATTACTGTTAAAAATTAAGTTTTCTATTTTTCACACATTTCATTTTGAGTTTCGAATTCGATTCTGTGAATGTTTAATCAAAGTAGAAAGAATTCGTTTCTGTTTCTTGTTCTTGTTCAAACGACAAGAATAAAGTTCAGAAAATGGATAAGGTTTCATGGTTTCATTTATATTGGATTTCAGGGACACAGAATGGTGCAATCATATTGGAAATGAAGCACCGAGACCACTGCTCAGGACCAGTTAGAGACTGGACACGAATTCTCCAGAGACGCTTAATTGCTGATGATATTCGTGTTAGGTCTCTACAATCTCAAATCAGAAAAATAGTTTCCAGCAGAACAGAATCTCTCTCACAAACTCAGATTCCTATTACCTCAGGTGTCAAGCTACAGACTCTTAACTACATTGTTATGGTCACATTAGGCAGTCGAAATATAACAGTGATAGTCGACACTGGGAGTGATTTAACATGGGTTCAGTGCCAACCTTGTAAGACATGTTACACTCAACCAGAACCTCTCTTCAACCCCCAACTATCCCCTTCGTACCAGTCAGTCCAATGCAATTCACGAGCCTGTCAATCTCTACAATATGCCACAGGCAACTTGGGCTTATGTCGGAATAACCCACCAACTTGCGACTACCTTGTTACCTATGGTGATGGTTCCTACACTCGAGGCGAACTAGGTCAAGACAACCTGCTTCTTGGAACCACCCAAATTGACAATTTTGTGTTTGGATGTGGACGGAATAATAAAGGCCTCTTCGGGGCAGCTTCAGGCCTAATGGGACTTGGAAGGAATGACCTCTCATTGATCTCTCAAACTTCTCATGTATTTGGAGGAGTTTTCTCCTATTGCTTGCCAGACACTGACTCTGAGGCTTCGGGTTCACTAATAATCGGGGGTGACTCATCAGTTTACAGGAATTCTACACCCATATCTTACACTAGAATGGTTCCAAATCTGCAGCTTGACACCTTTTACATTCTTAACCTAACTGGAACTAGCATAGGTGGGGTGGCTGTACAAGCTCCAAGTTTTGGCAAAGGCGGTATTCTTATTGATTCGGGGACTGTTATCACCAGGCTTGCTCCATCCATTTACAGGGCTATCAAGACTGAGTTTTTGAAACAATTTTCAGGCTATCCTCCAGCACCCGGGTTTTCAATCTTGGACACATGCTTTAATCTCTCAGCGTATGAAGAAGTTAACGTTCCTACGGTTAAGTTGCAGTTCGAGGGTGGTGCCGAGCTGAGTGTGGATATTACTGGGACATTTTATTTTGTCAAGAGCGACACATCTCAAGTTTGTTTGGCTCTTGCAAGCCTATCTTATGAAGATGAGATTGGTATTATTGGGAATTATCAACAAAGGAATACAAGGATCATATATGACACCAAACAGAGCATACTGGGATTTGCCAAGGAGACCTGCAGTTTCACCTAAACAACTCGAAGAAGTGCATAGCTCTTCTTGGTTCTGGTTCTACATGTAGACTTGTATTTTGTGATATGAGGGAGGTATAGGATATCTGAAGTCCACTTGTAATTTTTATCGTGTGTTCAAATGTACTGTAAGATGTATTATATGAGACAGGCTCAAATTTATGTTCTGTATAAAGTTTTCTTTCATAGTCTATGAAAAGAAGGGAAGTGGTTTTACGTAGCTCACTCAAATTATACTACTAGCGAAGTGAAGACAATACTGTAAAAAATGAAAAAATTTCAGATAAGCTCAAAATGATAACTAGAAATTCCCACACTTGCAATTTTTTGTTTTACGAACTTCCCAGAAAAGAACAAAGTCTGAATAAACTAATCAAAGCAGGTACATCGGATTGCAACAAGTAAAATAAATAGGAATTTTGTATTGCATGTTCAGAAAAATCCGATACTATTATGTTTTCTCAGAATATCATTATTAAAATAAAAGGAAACACTGAATCATTTGCAAATTCTTTAACATAAAATATAAGAGAGCCAACCTTAGGAATGTCTCAAACTTGTCAACCACTGATCTGTCATAGATGAGTTGGACAATGTCAGAAAAGGAATCTTGATTTCTCCTCTGGGGTCCAGCTAATTGCTTCCACTTGATACAAATTGTGTCAGGCTATGGCCAACTAAACTCGTGTATCCGTGTCATCAAACAGTTTTACTTCATAAAAAACAATGGTTTAATGTGAACTATAATGGCTCAATAGGAGAAATGCACATCACTAGATCACCAGATTCATCTTCAATGCGATTGTTAGTATCTTTGAGCTACTCTGTTGGAAATATAAATGTTTAGTGAATGATAGTTCGATAGAAATACAGGGAAAAACAACTGATAATCCTCTGTTTCTATGTTGAAACATCCTTTCCATGAGCTCCATTCAATTAATTGCCGTATTATGGTCAATTTTATTGACTAGAGAGGTCATTTCCATATCATTGTCCAATTTAAGTTCACTCCTTTTTTTCTTTAACATCTCGGTTGGAAGGATAGCTGCATTTGGATCACTATTGGGTATCAAAAATAGAATCCCCAGTGGAAGAACTCGGAAAAGGCTCCTTATCAGTATGGCCAGCCAAAGGTTGTCAAAGGTTTTCCTTGTTACATTCAAAGTGTGGAGCAAGAGCCCTCCAGCCCAAGATGCTGAGAGCATACCAACATGATCAATTGACATAAGCAAAGCAAAGAATGTCCCTTCTATTCCCGACGGACAAAGCTTAGAGCTAAGTACAAGAAGAGGCATCCATTTGAGTCGACTAATCATGTGGGAAACAGCTGCATCAATTACAACTACTACATAATCTGGCAAACCGAACCTCAAGTTTATGCGCAAGACCAATATCAAATCAAGCATGCCTGAAAGACCATATAGAAGCTGTGCCCAGAAAAGCACATGGCGAAATGGATAATTCCGGAAAGCATTTTGGTAAAGAAGAACCCCTAAAAGAGATCCAATGGCACCAACAGCTGATATGGACCCTACCATTTCCTGCACAAAGCATGATTTGAGGGACTAATGAATTTACTAATAGTGACATTCAGGGCATGTTTGATGTAGATTTTTCAAGAATAGATTTTGTGAAAAATGATTTTTTTGGAGAATGTGATGTTAAAAGTAGGGAAAAGTTATGGATTTGCAAAATTATTTTATTAAATGAATGTGCGGTTGAAAATGAATTTTACCACATAGAGGCTTAATTGGTTAGTCCTTTACTTGAATTGTGCAAACAAAGTAACATTTTTAATACTAAATAATAAAATTAAATAATTCAATTGAATCGTTCAGAACCTGGGGCCTGTTTTAAGAGGTAAAATTCATAAGTTGCCATTCAAAGTATTCCTAAAAAGCTACATATTTTTACATATGGTGGATGAGGGAATAGTTAAGATTAAAGGCTATTATGGGTTAAGTGAATCGACGATTTTTTATTTTGCAAATTAATTTATTAACTTTTATTATGAAAAGAATTCTGAATAAAACAATTAATGGAAGAGATCACTACCTGCGAGAAAGAAGGACCAGTTTTTGCGTCTGTATACCAATAGAACATTCCCTCGTGTATATGCAGACTCGATGCAAGTGATAGATACATGTACAAACATGGCCTCCAAACAACTGAACATTTGAGTGCCATCCACAGAGCCCTACCAGCATCAAGAAACTTTTGGTTCACCTATTTCATATATGCATTTGCGCAGGTAAGGTCCACAAAAATATATAATATCTGCCTAAATATAAAGCTGCTTACTTGCTTATAAGAAAAGTTTCGGATAAAGGGATCTCGAATCATAATTCCAACCAGAATGACCAGTCCAATAGGAATACTAAGAACTCCAAAAACACCCTGCCAGGCAAGAGATGCAATTAGTTAAGTCAAGAAAATACTTTAGCCCTTATTAGAAATGAATCACCTTTAGGGTTCATACGAATCAGCTGCAGAGAAAATTTATATCTAATGTAAACAAGTGTAAAAGAGCTCAATAGCTCATTTTAACTATATCAATTTCGCCAACATACCAGTCTATGCTAATGCAGTATTTTTAAGTTGTATTTTTAAGTTGTATTTTTAAGTTGTATTTCATATTTTCGCTTCATCTTATCATTGTTTTAGCATTAAACTGATCTCAATCAATAAGAAAAAGGAAAGCAAAATCAACATATTATCAGAATGCATGTTAAAACCTAATAAAAATCAACGTGATAGGGAAATCCTAGACGGAGAATAACGAACCTTTGATCCAATAAAATGAACTAGAAAACCACTAATTGCGAATCCAATTAATTGGCCGATCGAGGAACTCACTCCACACAAACTCTGCATGTCGCCAGCAATAGATGGATGACTTATACTATTCTCAGTCACACAGGCATCAATGGTCACGTCTGCTACTGCCACCGCCGTACTAGTTGCCATAAGGAGAACCAGTGCAAGTACAAGCTGCAAGTTCTTGTCCAGTGATAGCATAATCATCGAGGTAGCGCCAAGAATTCCTGAAATCATTAAGAGCTTTATCAAGAATCATATTTCTCTTTAACATTTAGCTATTTAATTCCTCTGTGAGGTTGAGAGGTGCTTAGAAATTGTAAAGTTCTATAACAAAGATATACAACACAAAATTGTTCTCATAGAAACAGGAGCATATGAAGTCTGAGGAGGAGGGTTCCCCACTCACACCTGAATGATACAAAGTGCCTGTTCCACAATCACTTCAACTGTTATATTCAGTTCATTATACAAAATTATCTCTCAGATCTCATCAGATATGTATCTACCAAAGCAACAAGTATCTACACATTCCTCAAAGTTACAATTAACTTTCTGTTCAATTGTTATTTTCGTGAACATTAACGAGCTCTGTTCCCCTAATCTGCCAATGGATATTTTAGATATGAAAAGACCAACATTAACGCGCTCGGTTCCCCTAATTTTTCTCTTAAATGATTCTGCCTCGCATTGAAATAAGTGGAAAGGCTTTTGCGTCCACTATATCTTCATATCGTGTTTAGATATGAGTTAGATGAACTGAGTAGTTTATGAACAGTTTCGTGATTTCAGAGAATTTTATGAGCAAGAAACATATAAAGGAAACTGAAGGGCAACTTACATCATGCACATGAAAAGCTCAAAAACAATTACTAAATCGTGTTTTTATTAATATTTAAGAAATGTTTTTGCACTTTCGCATGTGAGTCATATTATAACTTCTTTGGTCAAGCATATCCATCTATTTATCTTTCTTTTGTCTTTCCACAGCTACTTTATGCAATGTTTACCCCTTTAATATATAATTTATGCAGCTGAGACTCCTTGCAGATTGTTCAAATGTTATTTGATCATAAATTATGTAAGTCCTAAGGCCAGGTGCTAAGATATTTCACTATACCATTACCACGTATTGTTATAACGCTTTCATATACTTCTATTACCAAAATGCTAGTCCTCTTAGTTAAATCCATACCTAAATACTATATTCATTTGACATTTGGCTTCGAAATTTCAGTAGATCATGTTTAATCATCAGAATCAATCAGTTCTTATACACTTCAATCTCAATAACTGTAATCTCCTCGCAATACAATATTAAAATAAGTAATTAATCTGAGTCCTTACCAGTGTATTCAACGACTAATAGAAAGGAAAAAAGAAAAATATATGCAAACAGAATGCTCTAAAAAAAAGTCAACTCCTTCTATTTATTCAATGGCTCACATAATATGAACTTGATCAATAATCTTAAATACAAGATTTAAATTACATAGATGTGACCCTCTTTTACATATTAAATTTTCAGATCAACATTTTCAACATGTATCAAGTTTTTCGAGTCTTGCCGCCACCCATTTAATGAAATTGTGCAACCCTGCCTACACAGGTCATGTTGAAGGCAATGTTTTAAGTTTCTAGATCAAGGGTTTAAGTATTAAACAAATCACCAAAAACTAATCATTTATACATTTCATCTTACCAGCAAAAATGAAGTAGGGTCTCCTTCTGTATCCAAGAATAGGAACTGTATCAGTGAGAAGACCCCACAAGGGCTTAACCATCCAAGGAATCTGAATTATTCCAGAGTAAAACTGAGCTTCAGAGGGCTGCAATTTTTGCTCATCTTTCATGTAATACTGTATACTCAAACGGCTCAAACCCATACCAAGACCCTGGTTGATTCCATACACAATCACTACTCCAAACACAAATCTCCAGTGTAATTGCTCACTCAGCATTTTCAACCAGTAAAAGGGGCTCAAAATCATTCCACATAATCCATTTTTTTGCACTTTTTCTTTATGGGACTGATTTTCTTCTAGTGGGAATTTCTCTTCTTCATCCATCATGTCAGAATTAAACACCAAGTACAGAAATCTTTTGTATTTGTGGAACGTAACGGCAGAATCCAGGAAAAAAGAGTAGGCTGTGACGTTCTGTACAGTATCAATTTTGAACTAAAGTCGCTTAATGATTGCGACGTTTTGATATTAATCGCATCAATACTAGAGAGCGTAGACAAAGAATACTCTTTCGTGGGCCCGAGAATTGATTAGAAAATTATTTAATTGACCATAGCGAGCTGCTGAATTTATGGTCATTGTCTACATTTGACTTTGTGGTCTCGAATTTATGAATGATATCAAGGCACGTCCCTTCCAGGTTTCGTTAGGAATTTTTGGGACAACCGAGCTACCCCCCAAAAAAAAAAAAAAATCAATCATACTTGCTGTATAATAATTTTTACAATAAATTTGACAACATATTACATGACGAATTATTATTAGAGAGTTTGAAAAATATTTTATCTTTCTCATCAACACTTTTTTGATACCTACACCTAGAGCTGGACAAAACTCCCAAACCGAACCGACCGAACCGAACAGAACCGAACCCGACAGTTTTTCTCAAATTAAATACTCGAACGGGTATTTGAATCAAGAACCAACGGGTATGGTTCGGTTCTCGACTTTAGGTCAAGACCCGAAAAACCGAATAAGAACCGAATCTCCGTAATTTTTTTAATTAATTTATTTTAAATAAGTAAAATTATTTTATTTTTGTTAACTAGTTAATTTAGTTCAAACCATAAAATATGATTTTCCTATTTCTAATTTTCAGTTCAAAATCAACTTAATCAAATTGACCTCAATTTTATCCAAATCTGTTATTTACTATAGTGTCGTTTCTACCGGAGAAAATCGAATTAAAGTTCTACAACATCTCTCTTAATTATTTTGAGCTCGCTATCTTTCTCTTTTTGTGATTTTAATAATCAAATTTATGAAGAAATCAACAAAGAGAGACGTGAAACACATAAGATCGAACTACGTTATTTTGTAAGAGCTAATATTGAATATATCATTAATTAAATTAACGTAACTTTCTATATATTAAAAAATTTAATTATAATACGGAACCGAATGGAACCGAATCGGACCAAACAGAACCGAACCCGAACAGTTCCGTAAGTAAATTCGGACCCAAGGTTCCACTTACTAAATATCCGAAAATTTTGGATCGGTTCGATTCTTGTTAGAACGGAACCGAACCGGACCATGTCCAGCCCTACCTACACCATTGTCACGCATATTGTACAAATGGCTTATTCCAAAAAAAAATTGACTGACCCTCACAATATGGGGTGGGGCCACTTTATTCTTCCAATTGTTTATTTATGTAGGGCTCGACGCGAGAGATAGTCAAAGCCTCTGTCATAATGTTTCTTTTAGTAAGAAGGCTTTTTTCTTTTCAGGAGGTAGGACAAGAATATCCCACTTTGCCATTTCTATTTATTTATTTATCTTTAAAATATATTTTAAATACATTTAAAGTTTAAACCTATTTGATAATTATTATTTGAAATTATTTTTCTATGCATTCATTTTCAACTATATGGTCACATAATAAAATATTCTGCACGTAAATTCAAATTTTTTCGTACTTTTTAATGCATTCTCCTAAAAATTACAATTTAAAATATGTTTTTCCTTAAATAACAACCATAAAATAGGGACTTATTTTTAAAACCACAAAATAAAAATAAAAAATGTAATTCAATGTGAGCTTACAAGGTTCAGGATGAGGACCATGTCTACATTTCCACATGCAATGTGAAGCGAATCATGGACAAATTCATTATAAATTTTCTAGGAAAAAAATAATTATAAAACTTTAAAAATATAATTTCAAAAACGTCCGTACTTTGACATTTGACTCTTTATTTAAAAAAATTGCAGTTGGGGTCCTAATAAAATCTAAAAGTTAAATATAACCCCCAAAAAAAATATTGTTCACCTTCTCCACCGACTCCACCAATAAGAGAAGTCCCAAAATCTCTGTAGAATACTCTAAATCCTTCACTCCTCATAATGGAGTTCATCGTTTTTAGGTAAGAAAATATTATAAAATCACTTGCTGTCATGTTTCCAAAACCACAATAGAGTACAGTGTGCCTGAAACACCGAAAAATAACGCAGCTCCGAGGAAGAAAAACTTGGACTTGTCAAGCCCAATCAATATTCGTTGGAAGACGGAGTTTCAATGCTGAATCATCCTTAATAGTGCTCAAGAGATGGGTGAAAACTGTGATATAATCCCACTAGCCAATATATCGATATTGTAAAAAATATTGCGAGAATGTGCACAAATGGAAAGTAAAAGACGAAAGTGTAAAGGGACAAGAATAAGAAGAAGAGACATGGAGATTGTGTTGGAATAATTCCATATGTGGGCTTCACATTCGATTGCAAATTTTACGGATTAGATGTATGGCTTACAATGACATTATGATTAGGCCAATTATATTAAGTGATCAATTTGGACCGTTTTACACCTTACGAGTTTTATTTGATATAATGTTGTAATTTTTAAGTATGTGGGTCGGAATCATGCGTAAACCCTAATTAGGGTTTAAGTCAATAATGAGACAACAAAGTAGAAAAAAAAAAATGGTTTTTCTTGCGATAACAGGCAAAAGGGGAGACTAGGGCTCCTGTTGTAAATATTTGATTTTCAAGCCCCTGTTTGCAATTACAGATTGAGGGTTAGGTTTTGTAAATTATAAAAGGAGGGCCTGTCATGTAATTATTTAATTGAAGGACCTGATTTTAATTTGTATTTAGGATTAAAATGTGATTTTCAACAAGAGGCTCTTAACTTGAACTTTTAAAGTTTTGATCCTAAAATTTTAATTTTTGACCCAATTAAAAATTTTTATTTAATAATTAACTCGATTGAAATATATTAAATAATAATAATAATGATTTAATTGACGACTTTTGTATTATTTCATTAAAAGGATTATGCATTTAAATGTTGAAATTATTTGCGCACTAAAATTTCAATTTTTGTATATATTGAAATATTGAAATTTGTTGCCCATTTTGTCTCCAAATCACATATAAATTTGCCTTTCATCGACTAATGATTATAATTTGTTGCGTAATTATTGTTTCGTGATTGATTTTTTTTTTTAATGGGTTTTGAGACAATCCTTATTTGTCCCACAAAGAGAAATATTTTGAAATAAAAATGGGTGGTAATTGCCAAAATGGCATACTCATTATTATTTATTCGATTTTCTCTACAATAAGAGTATATATATTTTTGCCCAACAATTTTGATTTATTGCATATAATATCTTGCCCAAAGGTGTTATTATATGTGATATTTTTTGGGAAAATGGCATAAGGCAATTAACGAGTTTACCTTGATCTAGAAATTTCCTTCTTTCCAAAGGTATTGGTATTTCGAAAATCAATGTAATTTTGTTAACTAGCTACATGATGTGTTGTAAGAATACCTTATAACATGTTGTATTGTCGTCCCAAAGTGATTCTATGATGATGCATCTAAACTCTTACCGTAATGAAATTTATATGTTTTGATTTAAATTACGGATTATCTAATTAATAGCTCATATTAATTAGTTGAAAATTTTATCATCCATTTGATTGCATACATTATGTTTGGATGATATTGAGTGTGATATTTTATATTTCTACTGTTTATAATGCATCATCTCTTTCAAATCAATTGTCCGCTATTGAAATCTTGACTGGGAATAACTATGTGAAATGGAAACAAGACGTAAAAATAGCATTTGGTCTTTTGGCCTTGAATTTTGCAATGGAGAAAAAGTTTGAGAAACCCACAGATAAGAGTACTGTTGAATATGTAGCCGAATATGAAAAGTGGGAAATGGCTAACAAACTCTGTTTAAAAATCATTAAACGATCAATATCTGATTCTATTCTAAGTGTCATCCTCGATAATGAAAATGTCAAAAGTTTTATGGATGTTATAGGAGAAAAATTTATTGAGTCTGATAAAGCTGAAACTGGGGATTTGATGGATAAATTGATGAGCATGAAATATGATGGTATAAGTGGTGTTAGGGAGCATATCATGAAAATGATAAATATATCATCTAAAGTAAAGGCTCTCAACATTCTCATTGCAGAGCATTTCCTGGTTTATCATGTTTTAAAAAGCCTTTTTAGCCAATTTAATCAGTTTAAGGTTGTTTACAATGCTCAACAGGAAAAGTGAAATTTGAATGACCTTATAGCAGTGTGTGCCCAAGAAGAGAATAGGATGCGTGTAGTTAAACTATTGAAACCATGCAATTAGCTTTTCAGCCATCACAAAATAAGGGGCCTTCTCATAATCATAAACCTAAATTTCGTAAAGGTAATAAGTCCCACCGAAATCAGCAGAATAAAAATTTTAGTGGTCCAAAAGAAGTTATAAAGAAAAATTATCAATACAAGTTTTGTAAAAAGAAGGGTCGCTGGCAGAAAGACTATTTTAAGTTCAAGACTTAATTGAAGAAAAAGAAGAGTTCTCTAGGTATTCTCTTGACCTTAGTTTGTTTTTAGTCTTCTTTAGTGGATGTGCCTTTGAATTCTTGGTGTTTAGACTCAGGAACTAGTATTCATATTGCGAATTCCTTGCAGAGATTCACAAGCAAACAGAGGCTAAGTGAGAATAAAGTGAGCTTGAGCGTTGCAAATAGAGTTCAAGTGAAGGTTGAGTTTATGGGAGTAGTGAAGTTGACTTTAAAGTCAGGTTTTTCTCTTGTTTTGGAAAATACAGTTTATGTACAGCAAATGAAACGAAATTTAATTTCTATATCGAAACTTGATGCTTGTAGTTTTACATTTAATTTTGGTAATGGAATGGTTGAGTTATTTAATGATTCTCGTTTGATTGGGAATGACATTTTATGTGATAATTTATATAAATTGTCTTTGACTTCTTTTGGTGATGTCTCATGTGTTAACAATGTATTAAAGAAAAGAACTTTAATTTGTGAATTATCCTCTATATTGTGTCATAAGTGTTTGGATCATATTTCTAAAGATAGAATAGAAAGATTAGTAAAAAGTTGAGATACTTCCATCTTTAGACTTCTTTAATTTTGAAACCTGTGTGAGTTGTATAAGGGGAAAGCTAACTAAATCT